TCAGGCTTTTTGCATACAGGAGAATTGGCTAATTGTTTGCCAGTCTGGAAGGGATCAATAATATCCTCGAAAGTGATTCAGGCTTTTCTCTACTGAAGATGGAAGCACATCAACAGTTGATTCAGGCTTTTTGCATACAGGAGAGTTGGCTAATTGTTTGCCAGTCTGAAAGGGATCAATAATATCCTCAAGTGATTCAGGCTTTTCTCTACTGAAGATGGAACCACATCAACAGATGATTCAGGCTTCTTGCATACAGGAGTGTTGGCTAATTGTTTGCCAGTCTGGAAGGGATCAATAATATCCTCAAGTGATTCAGGCTTTTCTCTACTGAAGATGGAACCACATCAACAGTTGATTCAGGCTTTTTGCATACAGGAGAATTGGCTAATTGTTTGCCAGTCTGGAAGGGATCGATAATATCCTCGAAAGTGATTCAGGCTTTTTCTCTACTGAAGATGGAACCACATCAACAGATGATTCAGGCTTCTTGCATACAGGAGTGTTGGCTAATTGTTTGCCAGTCTGGAAGGGATCAATAATATCCTCGAGTGATTCAGGCTTTTTCTCTACTGAAGATGGAAGCACATCAACAGTTGATTCAGGCTTCTTGCATACTGGAGAGTTGGCTAATTGTTTGCCAGTCTGGAAGGGATCGATAATATCCTCGAGTGATTCAGGCTTTTTCTCTACTGAAGATGGAAGCACATCAACAGTTGATTCAGGCTTTTTGCATACAGGAGAATTGGCTAATTGTTTGCCAGTCTGGAAGGGATCAATAATATCCTCAAGTGATTCAGGCTTTTTCTCTACTGAAGATGGAAGCACATCAACAGTTGATTCAGGCTTTTTGCATACAGGAGAGTTGGCTAATTGTTTGCCAGTCTGGAAGGGATCGATAATATCCTCAAGTGATTCAGGCTTTTTCTCTACTGAAGACATGACCACATCAGTAGATTCAGGCTTCTTGCATACTGGAGAGTTGGCTAATTGTTTGCCAGTCTGGAAGGGATCGATAATATCCTCAAGTGATTCAGGCTTTTTCTCTACTGACGATGGAAGCACATCAGTAGATTCAGGCTTTTTGCATACAGGAGAATTGGCTAATTGTTTGCCAGTCTGGAAGGGATCAATAATATCCTCAAGTGATTCAGGCTTTTTCTCTACTGAAGATGGAAGCACATCAGTAGATTCAGGCTTTTTGCATACAGGAGAATTGGCTAATTGTTTGCCAGTCTGGAAGGGATCAATAATATCCTCAAGTGATTCAGGCTTTTTCTCTACTGAAGATGGAAGCACATCAGTAGAACATACAGGAGAATTGGCTAATTGTTTGCCAGTCTGGAAGGGATCAATAATATCCTCAGATGATTCAGGCTTTTTCTCTTGAAGATGGAACCACATCAACAGATGAGGAGAATTGGGCAATTGTTTGCCAGTCTGAAAGGGATCGATAATATCCTCGAGTGATTCAGGCTTTTTCTCTACTGAAGACGTGACCACATCAGTAGACTCAGGCTTCTTGCATACTGGAGAGTTGGCTAATTGTTTGCCAGTCTGAAAGGGATCGATAATATCCTCGAGTGATTCAGGCTCTTTCTCTACTGAAGATGGAACCACATCAACAGATGATTCAGGCTTCTTGCATACAGGAGTGTTGGCTAATTGTTTGCCAGTCTGGAAGGGATCGATAATATCCTCGAGTGATTCAGGCTTTTTCTCTACTGAAGATGGAAGCACATCAACAGTTGATTCAGGCTTCTTGCATACTGGAGAGTTGGCTAATTGTTTGCCAGTCTGAAAGGGATCGATAATATCCTCGAGTGATTCAGGCTCTTTCTCTACTGAAGATGGAACCACATCAACAGATGATTCAGGCTTCTTGCATACAGGAGTGTTGGCTAATTGTTTGCCAGTCTGGAAGGGATCGATAATATCCTCGAGTGATTCAGGCTTTTTCTCTACTGAAGATGGAAGCACATCAACAGTTGATTCAGGCTTTTTGCATACAGGAGAATTGGCTAATTGTTTGCCAGTCTGGAAGGGATCAATAATATCCTCAAGTGATTCAGGCTTTTTCTCTACTGAAGATGGAAGCACATCAACAGTTGATTCAGGCTTTTTGCATACAGGAGAATTGGGCAATTGTTTGCCAGTCTGAAAGGGATCGATAATATCCTCGAGTGATTCAGGCTTTTTCTCTACTGAAGACGTGACCACATCAGTAGATTCAGGCTTCTTGCATACTGGAGAGTTGGCTAATTGTTTGCCAGTCTGGAAGGGATCAATAATATCCTCAAGTGATTCAGGCTTTTTCTCTACTGAAGATGGAAGCACATCAACAGTTGATTCAGGCTTTTTGCATACAGGAGAATTGGGCAATTGTTTGCCAGTCTGAAAGGGATCGATAATATCCTCAAGTGATTCAGGCTGTTTCTCTACTGAAGATGGGACCACATCAACAGTTGATTCAGGCTTTTTGCATACAGGAGAATTGGGCAATTGTTTGCCAGTCTGGAAAGGATTGATAATATCCTGAAGTGATTCGGGCTTTTTCTCTACTGAAGACGTGACCACATCAGTAGATTCAGACTTTTTGCATACCGGAGAATTGGGCAATTGCTTGCCAGTCTGGAAGGGATCGATAACATCTACTGAAAACGGGATGACAACATCAGTTGCTTCAGGCGGCTTCTCTGATTGGAGTGCCACAACCACCTCCTCAGCGGACTCGGCCTCCGCGCTGGACGGGGGTGCCACAACCACCTCCTCAGCGGACTCGGCCTCCCAGAAATTGCAACCACCTCCTGGGCTGGGGGTGATTCAGGCCACCTCCTCGGACTCGGACTCGGCCTCCCAGCGGCTGGGTTTTCGCTGGGCATGGTGCCACAACCACCTCCTCAGCGGACTCGGCCTCCGCGCTGGACGAGGGTGCCACAACCACCTCCTCAGCGGACTCGGCCTCCCGCTGGGCCATTGGAGGTGCCACTGGAAGGACCCACCTCCTCAGCCGGACTCGGCCTCCGCGCTGGACGGGGGTGCCACAACCACCTCCTCAGCGGACTCGGCCTCCGCGCTGGGCCAGGGGTGCCACAACCACCTCCTCAAGCCGGACTCGGCCTCCCGCTGGGCAGTGAGCGGACTGCCACAACCACCTCCTCAGCGGACTCGGCCTCCCGCGCTGGGCAGAGGTGCCACAACCCACCTCCTCAGCGGACTCGGCCTCCCGCGCTGGGCCAGAAGTGCCACAACCACCTCCTCAGCGGACTCGGCCTCCCCTGGGCGCCACAACCACCTCCTGACTCGGCCTCCTCAGGTGCCACAACCACCTCCTCAGCGGACTCGGCCTCCCGCGCTGGGCGGGAGTGCCACAACCCACCTCCTCAGCGGACTCGGCCTCCCGCTGGGCAGAAGTGCCACAACCACCTCCTCAGCCGGACTCGGCCTCCAGCGCTGGGCCAGAAGTGCCACAACCACCTCCTCAGCGGACTCGGCCTCCCCGCTGGGCAGAGAGTGCCACACCCACCTCCTCAGCCCGGACTCGGCCTCCCGGCGCTGGGCGGGGAGTGCCACAACCACCTCCTCAGCGGGGACTCGGCCTCCCGCTGGGCCAGGGACGGGTGCCACAACCACCTCCTCAGCGGACTCGGCCTCCCAGCGCTGGGACGGGTGCCACAACCACCTCCTCATGGCGGCCTCGGCCTCCCAGCGGACTGGGCTGGACGGGTGCCACAACCACCTCCTCAGCGGACTCGGCCTCCTGGGGCTGGGCACAACCACCTGCCAGCAACCACCTCCTCTGGACGGGGACTCGGCCACCTCCTGGACTCGGGGGTGCCACAACCAACCTCCTCAGCGGACTCGGCCTCGCGCTGGACGCGGGTGTCACAACCACCTTTACAGACACTGCTTCGACATTGCCAGGTTGTTTACCTGCCTGCATAGGATCTAAGTCTTGCAGCAAGTCAGATTTTTTTTCTATTGCATAACTACCTGAACCAGTTCCAATGTCTGCTCCTTCACTTAAAGATTTACATGTCGTCTTGAATGGTTTTATATTTTCCATCCTTTTTAATACTTCTCCATCTCTCTGCAAAGAATTCAAATCCTCTTTACATTCATCATTAGTGGCAGATTTAGGTAGATTTTGATATACAGTCTGTACATTTTCTGTCATCCCTGGCTCTTTCATGTCACCGTATGTCTGGCAACTGTCAATTGTTTTATCAACACATGTCATAGGTTCATTTGTTTTGTTAAAGTTCTCATTAGTTACATCAGCTTTATTTTCTTTCTTGGACTCTCGTACATTTTTAGTTTGATCATCACAATCATACTCGGATTCCTTCAATTTCAGCTGATTGATTTCCGACACTCTGTCCTCAGCTAAGATGACATTATCATCAGTTTCAGCCAACTGGTCTGTGCCAGCTTCTTCAGAGAAAGACACTATATTTTCTAGTCCAATTGTTTTACGTCTTTGAGGTGAGCTTTCACTAGACACCTGGTCATAGCTCCTTCCTTCACTGTCTTCACAATCCAGATATTCAGAAGCATCCATAAAGTATTCTTCATCATCATCTGTAATGACCAAGGTCATTGTTGACCGTTCCGTAGGAGGAAACTCTTTGCCGGCAGGTGCTAATTTTTCACAAACTCTGCTAGATTCGTCAAAGGATTCGGAAAATGGAAGTTTTGTCTTTAGGGACTTTGTTGTTTCTTCACTCTTTCCACTATAACCAGAATCGGGTGTGTATAATTGCAAAGATGCAAATTTGCTACAGATTTCAGTCAGGTGTTTCCCTGGAGTGTCCATTTGCAGTGCAGACCTCACAGGAACAGGTTGAAGTGCCTTGTCCGGATTACAGTTCTCATCATTAAGCTCTTGCTTTAACGGAGACCGGCACGGGGAATTTGGAATACTGAGTGATGGGGACTGGCGCCAGTTATTTCCATTTTCAGCTGATTTTGCCAAACCCGGAGCAAAAGGTACCTTAAAGTCATAGTTTCTGCAAAAGAAAAAAAAAAAAAAAAAGTTATATCATCTCCACATGGAACAAAGAAAATTTGAACCCTGACCTCATGTTTCTTGGACAATATCCCTGGGCACCTGAACTATTATCATTTGATCCTGACCAAAAGCCATTCTAATAGTATGAAGAATCCTATTCAGCCTCTATCTGATGAAATTCCAAACAATGTTTTGATCTATTTAACTCTGAACAGCTGGAAGAGTTATTCACTAATTTTAATTTCACACACACACATTTGAAAAGATGTACTGAGCACTATCATTTCCGTTTATTATAGGTAGAATACTTAATGTATCTAGTAAAAAGTTTGTAAGCTTAAAATGAACAAATTAACAGGAGTAGAAGTATATCCCTTGTTGCCCCTGCATAGCTCCATGAACTTCACTTCTTGTCTGTTATGCTCATACAACACCACCACCACACACTAACCCTCTACCTTAAGTAGCTCTTGGGTCTTGTATTAACATTAATAAAAAATTAATTTTAATGAATGTGCTTTCCAGGTGGCTAAAGGAAAAGGAATTTAAATGAAAGTTCCCCCTCCCCCAAATTAGCTCAGTTTCAATCACCTCCCACCCTCATTCAAATATACAAGGTATGGCAGCATAATGCATAGTGGCTCGGATTGAGGAAACCGAGTGTAGAGCTGACTGCATTCACATAGGTTGTAGGACCCACAATTTTCCTTTTCAAATTTTCCTTGATTCAGTTTCCACTTTTTATTAAATTTCATTTTTTTTTTTTTCCATTTTTACTTTTAGGAAATTTCATTTTTTCCATTTTTATAGTATTTTATGAGAAAATTGCAATACAATATGTCAGTTATTAAAATCTGAAAACAAAAACAATTCAAAGTTTTATTGTATATAAAGAAATAACAAATATCTATAATTTTTTTTTTTTAAATGTTAAAATCAAAGTCCAAAATAAATGATACATAAAAAAGAAAAAAAAGTAACATGACCAGACAATAAAACAATGGAATGTTACAGTGCATAATTATCTTTGAGATAGAACTTTTAATCAGAGCTTCCTTCTTTAAGAACACATTCAAATTGTTTTTTTTAAGTATTTAGATTTATAATTATTGATTCATAATATAAAAATCACATTTAAAGTATCAACAGAAATATTTTGACTAAAATTTTACAGCAATTAAACCATAACTAAATTTTTATAACAAAATATCAAAACAAATTAGACATTAATTCAAAATTTAAATAAAACAGCTTATCCCAAGTTGAAATAATACTCAAATTTAAAATTGTTAATTTCTTAATTTGAGGAAATATTTAATCTTCAAATCTCTTCTCTAAATCTCCATTGTAATACAACATTGTGAGTTGCTTGGTGTTCTCAGGGGGTAAGACTTTCACATTGTTTGAGTATATGTTTATACTGAGAAAATAAAAATTTAACATCTATGCTGGTAACAGGCATCCATATGACTTTATTGGCAATCTGTTCCAGAAGAGGAAATCTGCTCTTATTTGCATTCCAAAATGATGGGATATTAAAAGGATTTGATAAATCTTGGAAATTCACATACATCAGTAGAAGGACATTGCAAATCCTTGATCCCTGCAAAACTGTCTAAATCATGGCCTATACAGGTTGATTCACTGTATTGACTTGATTCAGTCATCTTTGTAAATTGTTGCTTATTCATACAACTGGTTTAGATTACAAAATATAAATAAAATATGAAAAAAATAATCATTGAGAGTTAATGTTATTAAAGGATTTTTTGTTCAATTTTAATTTGTTTACAATGGTGAAGCACTGAAGATGATGCAATTATTAATCTGTAAGAATTGCTGCATAACAGTAAGATTAGACAAGCCAGTAGTTTCATAGAATGGTGTTTTTGGAGAATTTTTTTTTCTCCTTTATTTCTAAATTGTATGGTAGGCATGTGATAGCATTTACTTTTTTCATATTCATAAAACAAGGTTACAAGTTGTTTAAAAATCTTAATTATAAATTGTGTGAAATCTTAAAAGAAATGAATTTGTTTCTCTCTCTCATCAACTAATGTCTGTCTTCTCCATTTCCACTTTAGCTACAGATCTGTGGGTACAACCAAGCTGTGGAAAAGTTAAAATATTTAAAAAAAATAGACTAGCCAACATATTCTCAGAAAAATCAACACTTTTTATTCAAACACTTGAATTATTTTTCGGTTTTATAAAGAAAAAAACTACAAATATTTGTAAAACCAAATAAGGAAATAACTATGTTAGTGTTTTATTAAAACATTTAACAAAATCAGAGAGAGACAATTATTAAGTCTTGAAAGAATTAAAAAAAAAAAAAAAAAAGATAGAAAATTCTTTCCCTACGTATGAATCCATCTCTCCCAACCAACAGGATAGACTGTGCCTTATAGTCTTGGTTGGCAACCAGTCTTCAAATCATATGCTGCAATATAGGTCCTGCGTCTTTATACAAAAAGCCAGAAGGTAATTTCAAATCCACTTTGCTTTTCACCTCAAAGATTTTTAGTTTTGATTTGGTTCCTGAAAATTCACTGGCGTTGGCTGAAGAAAATTTAGCTTTTTGCATATAGCATAATTTCAGCTTATTTAATCGAATTTTTTTTAAAAAACTTGCTATCTTTTTTTGATTAAAAAAAAAAAAAAAAAAAAAAAAAAAAAAACACTTTGAAGCTAATTATTCTTCCCTACAAATTTTTTTTTCATAGACTAAATACATTAATGATTATTTTGTTTAATCTGTATATTGTTTCTAAAATGTACAAGCCTGAATTTTTACACCACTTTAATTTTACTTTATTTAAAGAAATCATTTTATTAAGCAGATTGGTTTTAGTCCTTATTAGAACTGTTACAAAGTCTTTCCCAAGAAAGAATTTTAATGCTATAATTAAAAATTCAACTGATTTTTCTGACAAAAACATCAATTTGGTAATTACACTGTAAAATTTACTTAAGATGCTATTATTTGTTAGATAAAGTTAATTTAATAATTTTTCTCTACAACACACTGATAATTTTTTTTTTTTATTTACTGTATATACTTGCATATCATGCAACCTTTGAAGACCAAATTTTGAAGCTAATTTTATTAAAGTAAATGGATATAGTGTTTGGTCAACGGCGTAGCCAGGGTCAGCAGTACATACGCCAATTTTATATCTTTGTGCATGATGCAATCACCTTAAAAGCAGGGTCTTCAAAAGTTGCATGATATGTGAATATATACAGTAATTTGTTTTTCAAAAAGGTATATAAAAAAAAAAAATTTATCTTAAGGAACAAATTAGGAGTAAATGTAATATTTTATAATTAATGAAAAATGATTTTAGAATCTTGGAGTCAAGATTCATTTGATATACTAATCCCTATCACATGTTGGAGACTGTGTCACGTGTTAAGTAAGGTAGCAAGAATATGATGTCAGCAGCATCAGTGGCAGAAGTAGCCAAAGTAATGATCCCCTGTATAGTCTGACCTCTAATCCGGCACTGTGGTCCAGCACTTTTTGAATCAGCTGCCATTAGTTCATTGAGACTATGAGGGTACCCCCACCCCACATGTTTACATCCTGAAGCAACAGTGTGTTATGGTGATACAGCCTTGTTCATTTATGTAACTGCATATTTACCCATCCAGGATAGTATGTATATATATTTTTCAGTTTTAGGCGTGTGTGTGTGTGTGTGTGTTTTTTTTTAAGGCCTTTGTATTGCATGAAACAAAGTAAGCATGATCGTTTTATTTTCGGTTTTAAGGTTTGTTCTACTTTGGATAACACAGCAACATATGTGGAATGAGATGGCAAGAATTAGTTTTTTTTTTTTTTTTTTTTTTTTGGTGGTGATTTATCATCTGGAAGGAGTCAGGTGCCAGATTAAAGAAGTCGGACTATACTACAACTTGCATAGCATGGAAGGGCAAAAGTGGAAAAAAAAAAAGATTCAGACCAAAAACATTCAAATCTTGTAATAAGTAGAGTATTATAAATAAAACAACTTTACCTGTTGGGTTGAAGGACTGCAGATGGAACACTTTTTGGGCTTTGACTCATGGTTAATCTGGATAAACAAAATTTGATTTTTCTTAATCAAAAACATGAACATGTTAATTTAGTCAGAAAGCAAAAAAATAAAAATGAAATAAAAACAATTTTAAGTCGAAATCTTATTAAGAGGAATGATCAAAGAATCCTTTTTAGAAGCTTTGAAATTCTTGTTAACCTTTTCTCTTTCCAGTGTCAATATATCAAATTAGTTTGGGAAATTTTAGAGTTTTTTTTTTTTTGCTGTGCAAAACAGATTTGGAAATTCTTGTAAAAATGTGATAATTGGATTTTAATGAAACTCAGGACTTATTCACAAATGAAGTAAATTATTTTTTTCAAATATTTCTTTTTCAGAAAATCTTTGTAAAAAATGTTTTTCATCTCTTAACCCCCACACTTATTTGTATGAAGTTTAAGAAATTCTTTTTTGTAGCACTAAGTGTTTATATTAATTATAAGGACAAGTCCTCAGAGAATTTAAATCATGAAATTTGGGGAGGCGGGGGTCATCCACCTCCGCCCATTTTTGAATCTTAAAAAAAAAAAAAAAAAAAAAAAAAATGTAATAAAACTAAGACTTTATTAAATTAGAAAAACTTAGACACTATTGCCTTAAGAAAATTTTTCAATGAGTTATTACAAGAATTTAAAAATTTTTAAAATAGTTTTAGTTTTAAATCTTAAAATTCTGTATTAATTTCATCCTTTTAGATATTAATAAAAAAAAAATGACAAAGTTTAGTACAAATCATCGAACACCAACATTTTAAAATTTGAAATTTTTTTTTTTGTAGACGCAAGTATTCATACACAACATAAGAGTGAAAGTGCTCACGTTATATTCAATTTTTTTCTACAGTTAAAGGAAATCCCACATTAAATGTCATCAAGCTGTCAACAGCTTTAAAACAGCTACCACTCTGTAGAAAAAAAATGAGCTGCGATATTTAAAACTTAAGATTTCAAATCAAATTAACTTTAAATCAACTTATATTCCTCAAATAGTTTCTGTTTTGTGGAAGTATTTTATTTTGGGAAAAAAAAATATTCAAATCAATTTAAATGTAATTTTGAAATACAGGAGAATTTTGCTTATTGGAAATAAATTTATTATCTTGAAATTAAAACTAAAATAAAAGCTTCAAGCAAGAATCAAGAGAAATTTGTCATTTTACAAAAAGAAAAAAAAAGCATTTTTAAACCATAGGTATCACTTTTTTTTTTCTTTTAAACTACTTGATTATTCATTTAAATTGAACATTTGGTTAGGTGAATTGATGCCATCAGATTCATTAATTTTTGAAGTCTTACAAAAACTTAATTTTAATTGCCAAAGTTTGTTTCATTAAGAAGTAATAATAATCACACACACATGTAATTAATCGACAATTCCGAGACGGATACTCGGAAAAAGGCTATATTGTACGTCTTGGAATAAAGGCGTATTACAAAAATAAAGTAAATTTGATTTTTAAATTCACCATTAATTCTAGGATCGTAAAGAAAGCAGATCAAAAGCCATTGCTGGGTTGGATGGATTGAGTGTGGGTTTATTCTCTGACAAACCTTAATTACCCCAGAGGATCAATAAAAGGGAGGTCAGTTTCATTTTAAATGTTTTAAGTTATTCACCTTGTCCTTCTAGAACTAGAGATAGGGTCAATGAAAATCAAGTCAGAGGGTCTACATAGAACTGGAAAGAAAATAAAGTTTAAAAAAATAGAAAAGAAAAAAAAAAAAAAAAAAAAAAAAAAAAATTAGGAAGTTTTTTTTTTTTGTTGAAGACCAATCCTTTCTCTCTCTAGTCACACATTCACGAGTTTGGGCTTAAAATAATTATCAACGAAAAAGCACCGTTAAGTAATTAAAAAAAAAAACGCGAGGGGGGGGGGGTGATTAAAAAACGGTAATTTCAAGAGAAATTTATGTCTATGCTGAAATAGGATTTTCTCAGTAGTCGGGCAAAAAAAAAAAAAAAAAAAATTTTTTTAGGAAGTTATTTGAATTAAAATTAACGGAATTGGACAATTTCTAACAAAAGGGAAGTTTTATTTTTCAGATGTGTGGAAAAATAAATAACCACCATTAACTGGGTTCGAATCTCAACGGGATGGGAATCAGTCAACAGATATCTCACTGTGTGTAGATATGTGTTTTTTGCTTCGTTTTTTTAAATGGCAAAAATGAAGTTTCAGTCCTGAAATTGTGCAAAAAAATCCAAGGGACATCAGCTGATGAAGCTTTTGTTAAAGGTACCTGCTTTAAAATTTATATATCCTCCCTACCCTCCCTCCAAAAAAATTCAAATTTTATTAAATTTAATTTAGATAAAGAAATGTGTGCTTATTCGTTAACTTTTTTCTAAGGAGACGAGGTGATTCACTGGTGCAGGAAAAACTGTCAAAACGTTCGTTCAAAAGCAGCAACAAAAACTAAAAGTATCAATTATCAGTTTATCACCGTTACTTGAATTTTTAAAACAGATTTATTGTGTATCACACACACAACGGGAAGCTGAAAGCATTAATTTCAAGAAATTTATTTTCGTTATTCAAATAAAACAAGTCTTAAGTTCTTAGTCTTTATAACTGAAGATGCGTTTTATTTTTAAGAACTTCTGTTTAAAAGGTTAAAGTTTAACAAATTTTTCAGAAAAAAAATTTAATTCATAAAATTAAGTTTGCTTAAAAACTTAATGTTGGGCAGTTTTAAAATAAGTGTCGAAGGTATATGGAGACGAAAAAATACGTTAACATTTTTTAAACAATGTTAATAAGAATTATAAAATAATATTAACGTTTATTTCATGTTAAAATAAAAACCGAAGCATTGAAATTTAAATTTCTTCAAGAGTAAAAACGAAATTCAAATTACGCAAACAACAATGACAGTTGTGAAAAGAGTAAAAGAAAATTGTTTTAAGACATGAATAATGACTTGAAATTGTAAGAGGGAAAATTAATCAAACAATATTTCTAATTTTTTCAGATAAAATTAAACAAACAAAAATATGCAAAGGACAGTTAGTGGCAAAAAACATTAAACAGGTTTTTAAACGAAAAAAAGTTATCTTCACTTCTCTGTCAATTGATTGCGACAAAAATAACAAAATTGCTTAATTTTTTCTAAGTACTGAACATAGAAAAATTGAATGATAAAGAAAACAATTTATAGGTGTATACATCGTTACTCACCAAAACAAACAAAAAAAGTACCACTGACTTATTAAATGCTTAAGTAAAATTAATAACGTCCACTAGCTTTCAAAACTGTGACTGATTTTGAATTTAAACTGTTTTCGCGCTGACATGCGCATTGCTAAACTTCCGGATGAGATAACCTGCCTCAAGAACGCTACACTCGGAGCGGTTTTAAATTAAAAGTTTTTGGTAGTGAAAAGATTTTGTTACGCAAATTTTCCCA